CAGGCATCCTGATCAGACGCCTAAATGATCTCTCCTTCTCAATGCTGCTTCTCCTTTTGGAGTGGGAAAGCATCAGTTTTACTTCAAACTCCATCTGAACGGCAAAGCTCCTCACCTTATCTCTAAGGCTGAGCCCAGGCACCCTAGGAAATAAGCTTATTCCAGACACTTCCATTAGGATCTTGGCTTTCAGTTATGTTTTTTATCTTGCAACTGTATTCAAGGGTTAACGTGGAAAACCCAGTAAAGCAAGAGCTTTGCATTTTAGCTCTGAACTCAGTCTTTGAACCTGACTTTTCCTGACAGCATTCCTCAAGTGATTGTTAGAGCAGATATAGCAGCCAGTTGCAAAGATTAGCCTTAAATCCAAACACAGAACAGATAGAATGCAGCAACACTTAAGCCGATCGGGACATACATTGTAGTTCACAGTTTTGTCCTGATCTGACATTTGCTAAATTGTTTTAATTGCGTTTCGAGCGTTTTGGATGAATATAATTGTCATGCCTGCTGCCTAGTGCTAATTAAAGGTTTACTTCGGATGTCGGTAAACCTCTAGGTTAATAAGCAAAACTGTAATTAACTTGTAAGTCTGCATTGAGGTCAAACTATGTCAAGTACTGTATGCGCACAAAAAAAACATGCTCATCCGGCCATGCTGAACTAAGTACTGAGTGTATGAAAACACCAGGGTTTAATCTTATTTTGTCTGGTAGAAGGAGCTGTGGGAGTTTGCCAGCAGCTTATTTTCACCACAGTGGTATACTACTCTGAGGGATTTGGGCACCTCCTTTTATGCAGCATTTGACAGAAAAGCAGAGGCATGAAATATTTAAGCAAATGTGTACAGCTGGAAGGGTAAAAGTGCGTCAGAGAAATGTCTTTAAGGTGATCTATAAGCCTGTTATTGAGAATGACTTTACAACAAGGTTTAAGTGCCTCTGATAGGTTTATGGCCACATTTCTCCCAGCATAGAGTTTAAATATTGCCAGTTATGAAACAGATTCTCGAGGTCTCTTATGAGAATGTATTGTTTGATATTAGAGGAAACATAAAAAGAATATTCATGTAGGATTCAGCACTGGCTTGAGTCAATCTACAAGGAAAGAGTTTTCACCAAAGGTCTTTCGTCTCTCAGAGCTTTTATTGCATCACTTAAACATTTAAAAGAGAATATTTGCACTGCTTTTATCTTTCATAGAGTCAAATAGAGATTTAGATCTTGTGTGTGCTAACTTTTGACTGTACTGATATTTCTATGAGTAGCCTAATTTATCTTCAATGTCTTTAAATATGTCTTGACCTGTAAACTGTTATATATATCTAGGCTCAAATCTGGTTGTATTTCATCTTAAACTGAATCATAAGTAGACACAATTTTACAAAGTGGTCTAGATGTACAGTCAAGCACAATTTTGTTTTAGGTAGGTCCATTTTGTTATCAAAAGATGAGTTTCAAATATAAATCTGCCAGGGGTTAAATGTTCGATTCAATTCAGTTTATTTATATAGCGCCAATTCACAACACAAGTCATCTCAAGGCATTTTACAGTTCAACCAGATCAAATAGTCAAATTGATTCAAAGTTTTCTATCTAAGAAAAAACTGTTGATTGCATCGACTCATTGACTCGAATGCAATCCCTCACACTAAGCATGCTTGTAGTGACAGTGGAGAGGAAAAATTCCCTTTTAACAAAAAGAAACCTCCAGCAGAACCAAGCTCAGTGTGAGCGGCCATCTCCCGAGGCCGACTGGGGTTCAAGGGGACAGAAGCAGAGATACAAAAAGCAGCTGTAAATTGCAGGAAACACAGAGCCAGGCAGACAAGCTCCCAGCCAACTCCCATGTCAGAGCACGAAGAAAGCACATCCAGCCAGTTACAGTCAGAGAAACAGGACTACACTGAAAAGCAGGTCGATCTCCAATATCTATAAACAAAAGTGTTGATGGCAGCAGCACAGCTGATATTTCTCTCCAGGATGGTGTCACAGCCCAACAGGATCAGACGAGGCAAAGCTACTATGAGAGAAAGCGGGGAGAGCATAACGTTAGAGATGGAACATAGTTTAACTAAATGTTAAACTGTTATGCTAACTTACAGCTATCTGGAATCTGGAATTTCATTTGAATGAAATTATTATTGTTTCACAGTTTTGTGAATTAAAACACGGTTTGGAAGATTGACGCAATGCAAATAAATATCCACTGTCACTACATACTAGTGATGAGTTTATGTTGCATGTTGCATTTACATTGTCAACTGTATTGATACTGCATTGTTTCTGTCTTACTGAATACTGACACCCGTTGGACACTTAAGGACACTACAGGCAGCTTATTTCACAGACTAAATTTAAGTGATTTGATGACCTACAATGATATCATTTAAGATATTGTAGGTTATATTGTATTATTTCATATCTATGTTTAAATTAAAATATCATTTATATTTTTAGATGCCGCCCATAAATAATGTAAACTGAAAATTTAGGGGAAAATGCGAATGAGGATGCTTGTGGACCAGGATTTTAAATCATCATTTTAAAACAATTAGTACAGCAAAAACAGTAAATAAACTAAGAGTCAATTTGAAATTAACAATTAATACAGTGTTTTGCTCTATGGGATCGACGCATTAACTTTGTTATGCACCGACGCATCGGTGTTAATGGACTACTACATACTCATCAAATAGGGGCAAGTTCGGCAAAGTCAATGCAATTACTCCATGCAGTCAGCTGGGTTTCTTTAGATAGAAAATCTTAACCCTGAGTGTCTATATGAGTTGCTTGATATGTGTCATGATTTAACTAAAGATCAGACCCAAAAACAGAAGACCAAACAGGGAGACCAGGAAAATGGTTTAACAGGTTTATTAGCAGATTGTGAAGAATCCAGTGTTGCTCTGAACACTGCTCAACCGGAACTTAAAGGTGAGGGGAAGACACTGCGGTTAGTTCAGGGAAATTAGATTCTCGAACTTGAAGAGGAGAAAAAATTTGCTGACTCACGTTTCCAGAGTAGTTGTTGACTCATTGACTCCAGTCTGTGTGCTGTTGTTCCAGTGTTTGTCTGATTCGGTGGAGGGCGGAACAGGGTTTACCCAGAATGCGGTTGTTTGTAGGTGAACGGAGAAGCTGACTGCCACTCAGATTTCCTGCGGTACTTGAACGGGTCGTAGTGGAGATGAATCCCTTGCTCAGTGTGAAGCTCTCTTGGGGAAAGTAGATTCAAACCTCCAGTTTAAATCCTTAGCTCAGTTTGAAGCTCAGATGATCCTTCCAGGGAGAGAAGGTCCGAAACATCCAGTTTGCAGGATGACTTCCTGCCGAGAGGCAAAGACAAGAAAACAAGATTAAGACTCAGGTTGACAAGAACTCAGTTTGACTCAGCAAAACTCAGCTTGGCTAGAGTACCCAAACACTCTGACGTCGAGGTATTGGCAGTCAGCAGCTTAAGAGCGCTCAATTAACGAGGTAATCTTCTGCAGGTGTGTGAGGAGGCGGACCAAAACGAGGCACCTCCTGGTGAAGGAAGTGAGACAAACACAGAAACACAGTCAGGAATCCTGACAATATCATTTTGTAACGTTTAATTGCTATCAAGTAATAGAATAGTCTCGTGAATTGAAGCTACGTATGTAAATTAGAACTAATTGAATGACATTACAAATGTGCATCTTTGCAGATATATCCTGTACACCTTGCGTCGTCACATGACCGCTGTGTTTATTTGACCATGCTGGATAGCATGAAAAAACCCTGCGTGCGCTGTAATAATACAATGAGATACGTATTAAAGAGATGTAATACAAATAAGTGCATAATCTGCCAATCCAACATTATCAAAACATGGACATTTAAATGGGGAGTTAGAACAGCAATAAAATTCAGAAAATTATCTTGTTAGACTGCAGGATGCTTATAATTTGCCTGGTAGCTTGTTTTTGCGGATTAAAGACCTGCGTCCGTCTGACATTCCCGGATTCGCTTACCACTTGTATAATTATTTTCTGTATCGCCAGTCTTAATCTTCAGGGAAAGTACTAAAGGCTTAGAAAAGTTAAGATGTCTACAACTATTTTGGGGTCAGGATGGGTGACACTTACCCTGGCAGGAGGGCAAGTAAAGCCTGGCGGCCCACTAGGCTTAATGGACGCTGCAGGAAACTGTATGCCTGTTACATGATGAAACCCTCCTCTTAGTAACGGAGGCAGTTTCCACATTTGCCTAAATTAAATAAAATCTCTACAACAATAATTTGGGTATAACAACTATCCCTTTAGGAGGTTTTCACAGCAAATTCTGCTAGATGTAGTTGGTTTCCAGCTCTGCGTCTTTACAGCAGCTACCCATTTTGCTCACTTTTTTGGGTCTTTAGGGAAGCGATTAAATTTGCGCCGCCCTTTCTTCCCTGTCGGTTGGTACAACCATATGCAGAGCATGAGAATACCATGTTTTTGTTAATGTTTTCAAGGTAATATGAAAAAACAAATGCGATAGCTGCTGGTCCTGTTCTATGTATGAGTGTTTTGTTTTGCGATCCAAGAAGAAGTCGTCGCAGGTCACTTGATTTGCTGATCAGTTTCACATGCTCTGTAGTTAGCTGCAGCTGGCAGTAAATTCATCTTGTATTGAATAATACTGTGTTTTTTGCAGTGATGTTATACATGCATTCGTATTTGTGTATAAGATCATTTTTGATATTTTTGTTCCATTCTTCGTCTGTTTCTCAAGAAAGAGAAGAGAAAAATCTTTGTGTTTCACTACTGGACAGGACAGGTTATAATAAAAAAAGAAACGTAAATTGATTTTAGGGCTTTGCGCAGTGCTACAGCTTTGCAAAGGGAATGTTATTAGGCTTAACTAAATTGTCCTAAATTGAAAGAAGATACAATGTTTTCATTCTGTGTAATTCAAAGCATCAGTGCAGATAACATTCCTCATTTGTACGTTTGACTGATTGCCATTGAACTTTTCCCTGTTTTGTTCTTACAGATATAAACATGGCAGGTGAGCCCAAGCCATACCGGCCTAAAGGTGCCTCCAAACGGCCACTCTCAGCTGTTTACAGGTGAGACGTGCTCTCCTTTCAGCATGCAAAGAGTCCATCACCATCATGAATATTAAACTGCCTTTCCAACCAGCTGCTCCTGCTGGTGTAATTCTGCTCCAATATGCAAAGTATAAAGATTTGTTATTAAGATTTCCTTTTTTCCTCATTTGAACCTTGAATGTCTAATTAACAACATGTTTTGCATTTCTGAAGCCTGATTTCTGATCATAAAGCAAAAGCAGTGAAAGCTCAGTGGAATTAATATTGTGTCAGCTTCATTAAGCGACCCCGATTTTCTGCCCAGGGCATGTCTCATTTTTGTGCAAGAATCTGTGGTGTTTGTTTACTGTAGTCTAATGTGAAAAAAGACAACAACATGTTTTTTATTCAAAGAGAGGCTTGTTTTTTTCATGTGCTTTTTCAAAAGTTAACAACCCAGCCATTTAACTCCCTTTTATACATTTTTTTATTTATTTAAGCATCTTATTTAACTCCTTTATCAGCTCAGCAACTGTGTTACCATGGAGCCTTTTTTGTATTTTGTTGCTGCAAGCACAATGTGAAATGGTAAATTTATAGAGCAAGAGAGAGAGATTTCTCCAAACTGAAATAATGACTTATAAATCCTAATTAAAATTTGTTTAAGAAAAGCTAGACTTGATAGCATGTCTTTGTTTCTTTTGTTTTTGTGTCTTTTTGTATTTCATTTCAGTTGCCATCCCAGAATTTCTGAACACTATTTTCAATAGCTTGATTTTGTTTATTTATTTATTTATTTTTTCATTTTCTAGACTTTCCTTGCCTCTAGAGCTTTTGTTCTGTTGTTTGTTGATTACTGGTTACGAAATGCGATAGCATGAAACTTTTGAATCATGCATTCCAACATACCTCACAATGAAATAGAGTACTATAAAAGTTAATTTAAAAGAGTATATTATATAAAAAGAGAATAAAAAAACATATTCATCCACCTCAAAATATGAGTATTTAACATATTTGAAAATATTTGATACAAATTTTGACATGATTAAAAACTTAAACCAGAGGAAGGAATACGGCACAAAATCGGTGTTAAACGTTTCTTATTTTCAATGTCATTATATAATATTGTTTCACCAGTTAGATTCATCACCTCATCGCTATTCATCTTTCATACAGCCAACTTCAGGCGACCGGGAGATCGGGATTTTACCACACTATGATCTTTAACACGCTGGTGTTCATGGGAAATGTTGTCTTCTTTCAGGCAAAACAATACAGAAAAAATTGTTTAGTACTGCTTTAAGGAAATGAATGTCCCCCAGAACACTTCAGCAAGATTTTATTATTGTTGATTTGAAAGTGCACAGCATGTACAGTCAAAAAGACACTGCAGAAATCTAACTTTTATCACTGGTGTGCTCTGAAGAAATCATTGCCCCTAAATAAAAACTTAACTGCAGGGGGGCGTTTTCCAGGTAGCATGGAGACAAAAATTATTTTTAGATCATTCTCAGCAGTCAGATGTTTTTTAAAAGTGATTTACACTCTAACAGAGGACATGCTTATGCATAAAATAAATACAACATAGGTCAACAAGCTGACCATCAAAGAATCTACAAAAAAATCTGTTGTTTATCATACAGGGCTGATCTCTAAGATCTCTTTGAAAAATTGGTGACTTAAAATGGTCCGTACAGGTGAAAAGGGTTGGAAGTGAATAGTAGCATAAACTGTCCTTAGACTAATGTCAGAACTGCTTACAGGTAGCATCTCACTGCAGTTATAATAGCCAGGTAATTTCAACACCATTTTATAGGTTTTGATCTCTTGTTGGCTTTTCAGTAAGAAACCATTTTTTTTGTTATACTGTCATTTTACTAATAGTTTTTTGTTCTGTGTTTTACTCTGCTGCACATTGGGAAAACTTTTCCTCATTCTTTTTCATTCTATCCCTATTCTCCCATTCTGTCGTATTTGTTAGTTCAACCTTTAACTTTGTGTTCTCTCCACTTATTTGTGTTATGGTAGCTTCAGCTGGTTTGTTCCTGTTTAGCAGTGACACCATCCTGGAGAGAAAGAGTAGGCCTGTTTTTAGTGTTTAGTCATGTTTCTCTTGTAGACCTAGTCATGGGCTCAGCTTTTACTGTGGCTAATTTGTCTGCTTAACACTTTCCTGTACAAAGCCATCTTTTGAGCTATTTTACCATTACCTTTTCTAACAAAGATAATTAATAAATCATTGCTTTATGTTCCTTTTCTATGTCTAGTTCTGTCTCTTTAAACCCCTAGTTTCCTTGGCAGATGCTCGCAATGAATCTGGTTCTACTGGAGATTTCTACCTGTTAAAAGGAACTTTTTCCTCCCACTGTCGCTGCATATAAGCTCAGTGTGAGGGATTGCTATAAAGTCAATTAACTAATTCAAAGCAGGTTTTAGACAGAAAACTTTGAACCAGTCTGGCTGTATAATATGATTGAATTCTCTGTCAAGTGCCTCGAGATGACATGTGTTGTTGGCAATATAATAATAACCTGAATTTAATCATATATTGTGATTTCTGGATATTTTTTTTGATTATGTCTCTGATGGTGCAAAACAGCAGGGTCTTCAAATATTTATTTCCCTCACTGTATCTGACAATCATTACAGGACTTTAGATATTTAACACACTGTGATAGTTTTTTTATGTGTACTTTCTCTTATCCTTTTTATATATGCCTTACAGCAAATTAAAATCAAAGTAATTTTAGTGATATCTCATGCAAGCTTTTCCTCCTTGTTTTTGTCTCTCTTTTTATATTTCCTGTAGTGGTTATGAATTTGATTACGAATACTACAGGGATGATTTCTACAGCAGGTATGTATCATCCTTTAAACTGTTGTATTATTTTTCTTTTATTCTAAGATTGTTATTGACTGTAACACTGGCTCATACAACCTAGTTTGATGCTGGATGTCGGGTAATGGTGAAAAACAGTGAAAAGAATTGTTAATAACAACAGACTTTGATCCTATTTACTAATGCTTTTAAAGTACTACATGACAGTGAAATAAATAATAGGAGAACAAAGAAACCATAAACACAGATGACACACTGGTAACACCTACTGTACACTAATGGAAAAAATTGAATCCAAGAGAAGAATTTACGCAAAATGTTACATGGTTTTCAACATTTTGTTCAAGCAAAGAATCTAAAAAAGTCATGTAGGATACAGCTTAAAATTTCTATATGCCTCCATCAGCTTTACACATCCAGAGACTTTTTTCTACACTAAAGCTCAAGCTTTGTGACTTGGATGAGGTATCAATTTACTAGTCTTATCACAGATTTGATATAGATTTGGATGTTGGATCTCCTTTAAATTTTGGTTCATCTGTCTTTGTCTGACGTGGCTTCCCTGTCCATACTAAAGACTTGATTTCTCACAGGGGTACGATGTTCATAATTGTGTGCTAACAGGCAGCGTCTCTGGATAATAAAATCCTTGCCAAACATGTTCGTTTTAGTTCACGTTCTCCTCTTATAGAGGTGTAATGGAAAATCTTTGATTCTGACAACTGTCATCTTTTCAGTTTAGCACATGTTTGGAATTATTTGAACTTGAAAATATTCAACATGACTATGTGCTGACTTCAATGGACTGGCGACCTCTCCAGGGTGTTCCCCGCCTCTCGCCCATTGACTGCTGGAGATACGCACCCAATTGGGACAAGCGTGTCAGATAATGGATGGATGGATGGATGGATGGATGGATGGATGGATGGATGGATGGATGGATGGATGGATGGATGGATGGATGGATGGATGGATGGATGGATGGATGGATGGATGGATGGATGGATGGATGGACGAACTATGTGCTGAATTAGAATATGGTTCTCTATTTTAACCTTTCTGTATTTCCAGGGTATGCTATTTGCAAGATTAGTTTGGTGTTTTTCTCCTGATTTTAAGCATAATATAAATATAATGAACCTTATATTTCCATGTGTACTGTGGCACCCATTATTTCTGGGTAACTTTGGATTTGTTCCATTGTCTTTTCCTTTTTTTTTCTTCATTTAATGAGCAGAATAATGCTCTTTAAGATGCTCAAAGCTAGAATAGGATTTTTTTTTGTAACCTAACCCATCTCCTGTCTGCGGCTTTTCTCGGTTGTCCATTTTCTAATTATTTCTAGAAAACCTCTAAAGCCTACTCAGAACAGTTGGCTTCATACTGAGACTAAATTACTAAAGGTGGACAAGTTACAATGGATTTCATTTTGGGTATAGACCTTTCTATGGTCAACACTAAATAACATTGATCAATTGAGAGGGAAACATTTGTTCAAATAGAAAATCTTTAGATTTGCATCAGGCTCATTAAAATTCTCTGTCTGATCAAATGCAGCCAGTTGAAAACAGCAACTGACAGCTTATCACAATGGTCGGACTTGTAAGACTTAAACACATGCCAGACTTAAACACGCTGATGAAGGAATGTTTGTTTTCGCTCTCATTTATCCAGAGGCAATCAAAGTGCTTATCTGTGGAGGCATTTTCCATTTTCTAAATGTCAAACGTGTTGAGGTTGAGCTGCGACACCATTTGTAACTGAGAACAATCAAAGCTGACGCCCTCATTTAACATTTAGCAGCCCCCTTGTTTCATGCTCCTCATACTAAGAGGATCTGTGATTGGAGAACCTTTTTATCTTTTCATGAGTCTGTTGAACTTTACAGAAAAAAAAGGGGATTATTGGTGAATTAAATTGGAAATTTTTGCATTTTGTATCTCTTTCCCATCTGAAAAAATAACCTAAAAGTAAATGTATCTTGAAATACAATACTGGGAAAAAGATAGTGTCTTCTTTAAAAAGAGCTGATGTAAGATAAACCGTAAAAACCCTTTTTAGCTTTAATAAATGGCCAAATTCTCAGCGTGATAGAGGCTCTTTTGACCTACAAAAGAAAAGGTAATAATACAGGTTTTCCTTTCTCTCAAGGCTTTTTGATTACCACGGCAGAGTGGCCCCCCCACCCAGAGCTGTGATCCCCCTGAAGCGCTCCAGGGTGCTCGCTCCTTCCTCTCGCCGTGGGAAAACTTCCTTCCCTGTCAAAACATCCTCCTCCTCCTCCTCTTCATCCTCCAGACCTCCGACATCGTCCTCTTCCACCTCAGGTGTCAAATGTACGTACAGAAAGATATTTTTCTACAAATTTCTTAACACCAATTGCACTTACGCTTCTTGCAATCTGCAGCTCAGGACAGAAATGCAGAGTCGGATTAAATCGATGTCCTATATAAATAAGTGTTGTTGGGCGTTGCTTTTGCTGTCAGAACACATGCTTCTGGATCTCATTTGCTTCGCTGATTAACTCAATATTTGTTAAAACATAGTAGATGTAATTAGAACAAGATTGAGAAAAATCTCTGTGGGTCAGCTGTGTTTTCCTAAGCATTAGTCTCTTTCTGTCTGGTGTAATTGGTTATAGCATTTGTTTCACTGTTGGCTCTGTCAGCTGGTGTTATCAGTGTAAGCAGCTTGGTAAGGTCTGTCAGGAGGACCCAGCTGCAGCTGGTATTACAGCGAGGATAGAGGGAAAAAAGCCAATCTCCTGTCCTAGTTTTTGGAAAGAGTCAATAAATTCTCTGCTGTGTCTAAGCTGAGCTTCTGTATGTTGGGGAAACTAATTTTCCCAGACCGTGAAAAAAATCCCAGTCTGTATCAACTTTAGCTGAGATAGATTGGACAGACAAATGCATTTAGAATATCAAATAAAGCTGTTAGAAAAGTCTAGTTAAAATGCCACTTTAGAAAACAACTAAGATATTGAAGTGATATCTGATCAACTGAGAAATAGCTGCTACCATATCAGGTAGTTTTTATGTATTTCTCTATTATGAAGAGGTGTGTGCCATGAAAGTATGTATTAATAATCAATTTGTACCTTTGGAATCCCTTAATACTAAAAATTTAACATTAACCCTATTTTTCACATTCACCTTTTGCAGAATATAACCAGTATCCCTCAAAGAGAATATTTGTTTGTCATAACAAGGTCAAAAAAAGACTATAATTAGACCTATTACTCATCCCCTAAATCTTTCTTAAGCTAAATAACAACAGCATTTTCTGTATCCTTTCCCTGAAAGCACAGCTATCTAAGATGCAGTTGATGAATCATTGGCTAGATATGTTTCCTCTCAGCAGCTTAGCAGTCGATAACACAAAAGGAAAGAGGCCTGGAGGTCCAGATAAATTAAAAACTGTTCCACTCTTTCTTATCATCAAAGGACTCCCAGTGAGCAGCCCAGCGCCAGCGGAGATACTGCTGGAATATTGCTGGACTTATGAAGAGAGCGTATTCACAGATAGTGTTTTGAATAAATGGGGGCAGGTGATGCAGAGGAGATAGAAACACACAACCCCCAACTCACTCCGCACCCCAACTGAGATATGATTATATACCTTCTGTCTTTACGCTTTTCTCTTTTATTTAAAGTAGATAGTAGCTTTAGAACAACGCTGTGAGAACACATCCTGTGGTTTCTTATCACTTACCCTTGGATTCTAATCATTGTATCTATACTTGCTGCTTTTTCTTTTTTTTTGGTTTTACACAAGACATCCCAATCCTTCACTTTAGCTTTGCTTAAAAAAAAGGTCCTGTATTGACAAATATCATACAGAATGAACTGGCTCCTGCTGGAGTGGCTGGTTTGTTGTTCAGCATGAACACTGGAGAAAGATTAAGATGTGTTTTTGGAGGAAATTAGGTAACAACAAGGTCATATTTTGTCTTTTTTAAAGGGCTTATGTTTCATTCATGAATTGTTTTTGATTGCGCAGACTTCAGAGAGCACGATTTATTGTAATATGTGGGTGTACATGTAGATGAAAGGATCTAACATACAGGAGCACATGCAGACTTGATAACAAATTGTGTATTTTCATTTTATTTCATGCATGTCTCTGCCTTCTGATTTCCAGCTGAACCTTTGCAGGAACTCGTGAGTTTGTTTCCAGATTGAATCTGATTGGCATCAAGCTGAATTTCTGTTTTCCTCTCAACTTTTTTAGCATCTGTATTTCTGCCCGCCTCCTAAAATATGACACACTCCATCCACTATGGGGTAGAGTAATAAGATTATATTATTACCTCATGGTCTGAGCTCTTTAATCTGCTCAGCTTAAGACATCCTCGATTCAGCTGTCAAAAATCATAGCGGCAGCTCCTCTGATAAGTACTTTGATTTTCTGCTGTTATTTCCTACTTCCTTATGACACGTCAAGATTAAGTCTAAAAGTTTGACATTATCCAGTTATGGTTCAGTCCTACACATCAGATTCTATATGAACTGTTAAGAGCCAGTGTGTGAGCAAAGCAACGCAGGAAGTAGAAAGCAAATTATTCAAAAGCCTGTAAACAGACGCCGTGGGGGGTAGGATTACGCGGCTGCTTTCCATGTCGAAATATGCAAAAATGCATACATGCATACCGTACATCTCTGAGTATTAAACTTTAGGGATTTAAGGGCACTTTTACCCATGCAGAAACTTGTTTTGCTGATGAGGTGCTACTCACTGACAAGGAAGCACACAATTAAAAAACAAAGTCAGTGGGCGTGCTTTGGTGGCACTGTGGTTAGTGCACACGGCCCATGTATGAAGGCCTTAGTCCTCAATGTGGGCGAGCCAGCCTTTGGTCCTTTCACACGTCTCTCCCCCTCTCTCATTCCCCCTTTCCTGTCAGCCTACTGTCCATAAAAATTATCCACTAGTGCTGCAAAAACTTAAAAAAAGTGAGTATTATAAAGTAGTTTTCACTTTCTGTAGGAGATGTTCAACTCACACTTGAGGTCCTGAGTGATGATGGTTCTCAGGTAGTGATTCTGCGTTGGTCTACGATGATCAGTCCCCCACCTGTAGGCAGACTCATCCCGATGAACTAAATGAAGGTGGTGTCAGCTATAATGGTTCTACTTTTGACTAAATTACATCATACTGTAGGACAGTGATTCCCACCCAGGGGTACTAGTAACCCTTATGGTCCACCAATGCATTGCAGGGGGTATGTGAAAACATTTAATATTTTACTTTCCAGGTAAAGAAACACAATAAAAAAGGGCTGGGATGGGTTTTTTATTACATAGTGAATCTGAATATTCTTTACTTGTTTTTTTTATATGCTAAGTTTCGATATGTTTACAGCTAATCAACTTAATTTGATTTATGTTCATATTAGTACCTATTTTCTTTACAGGCAACATATCTATGTTTTTTTTATTCTAATACAAAAAAAATTACGTCTGAGCATTAAAATGTTCAAGTTAATGAAATTAAAGAAATATTTTTCCTTTTATAATCATTTGTTCTCTCTATTTCTGGATAATAACACGTTTGACCGAGAGGGAACTCATGGTATGATAAAATGGCCAAGGGGGTACAAAAGTCAAAAAGTATGGGAACCACTGTTGTAAGACACCAATTCCTTATCCGAAAAACACAAAACTTAACCCTCTTTATTTGTTTTTTTTTTTAATAACAGTAAAGACTCTAATAAAGATATGCAGTTATGCTGTCATATATTGTTCTTTTGTCAGTGTCAGTTTGTAACAACATTTTATTAGCTGTAGCCCAGCAGGATAATTACCACAATATGTATTGCTATCTCTAACAACATCTGTTCTGCTTAATTTCTGTTTTTAAACACATGCTATGGAAAATTTTAAAGAAATTAATAAAAAATTTTGAGCTAAGCTGTAAATAAGATAACAGTGATTATCAAGTAGACCACAAAACTGTGATCCTAAAGGACTGCTTAGAAGCAGTATTTGTGGGTAAGGATTTTAATGTTTGCATACAAGGATTGGTTGGGCAAAACAAAGAAAAGCGAGCACAAAATGAGGGGTAACTTTAATCTATTTTTTTTATCAACATTTTCACCTTAAGTATTTCAACAAACTATTTTCCTGAAATTGTGCATCCCACAAGATATGAGCAAGAGGCTTGTTAACCTCCACAAAAATATGCTTTGCAGTGCCGTTATGCCTTCGAACAGCTCAGGAGGAAGTCTGGTTATACCGTGTTTGGGGTCAAAATCAGTGTATCAATCCCAGAACACAAGCAGAAGATCTGTTGAAGATGATGGTAAGAGGGAGTGTCATTATCCACAGAGAGAGAAGGGTCTAGAACTGACATGAAAGGCTGCTCTGCATGAAAACAGCCATTATGCCAAAATAAAAGTAACACGAAAAGCCAGATTACAGTATGTAGATGCACACTGGAACAGTCCCTAAAATGGAGACAAATCCTGTGGTTTGATGAAACTAAGATTGAGTTGTTGGCACTTGACCATAATCACCATATATTTGGAGGAAAGAAAAAATGCAATAAAAAACACTGGACCATATGTTACCCTTTAATATATGGCTACCAAATACTAAGGAACCAAACATTTTAAAGAAAAATGCAAAGTCAGATGGAGGAAAACAGTCATTTGTCGATTTACACACGTAGCACTTTAAAAACATTGTTTCAAATGTAGGTAATGGTTCCGAAGACAGATTTTTTTTTTCAAATCGACGTTTTAAAGGTTCACCCCATGCTTTAGGAGTGTGCAAATGTTTTACTGTAAAACCCAGTTTTTTCAGATGTTGGCACTGCCTGTGAGAAAACATGAAGAAGCAGTGCACAGCATGGTGGGCGTAAGCTGTGCACTAATCTTTAAATTGAAAAACAGCACGTCCTCAGTCTAAGCTGGATAACTCGTCACTATAGGCCTGATTGAAAGGCTCTTCCCTGAGGAAGATTTAACTAAGTGTCATGAAGGGATTCCTGGGAAACATCAAACACTTGATGCATAATTGAAATGACTGCAAAACTGAAGTAGAACAAACCAGCAAAGACTACCTCTTTGTGTTTCCTTGTGTTTACAGTGAAGACGGACCAGCTCCAGACCATTAAACGAGAACTGACCCAGATAAAAATGAAGATCGACTCTTTACTGGGACGTCTGGAAAAGATCGAGAAGCAGCAGAGGACCGAATCTGGTGAGAACAGGAACACAGTCTGACTCAGACAACAGTACAGAGGCGGGGGGGGAGAAACACACTGAGCAGCTAAAAAAAAAAAAAAACGGAAATTAAAAAGCTCACATTGGCCATAAGTCTTTTTGACATTTTTAGAGATAAGGGCGGCTGAGCTCTCCGTCATATCAGCAGACAGGTGTCAGCACCACACTGACTCTGTTTAAATGAGGTCTTCATAGTAGCCCTACACTGTGGGACAACCTCACAACAGATCACTGTGAAGGTCATTCAGGAAAGGCACTGAATGTGGCATGGGGTTTTTTTTTCACCAAGGATTTTGCTTATTTCGAGCTTGTTCCATCTATATTGTCAAACTTACATCCACAACAAATAAGCTGTCCTGTTTGTTTTATTTCAAGGTAGCCCAAAGACTGATATGCAGGACATGGAAACACAGATAATTGAAACACTGCCAGTTCAGGTAAATTACATCATTCCAGGGGCTGATCTCAGGGGAGAAAGGAGCAGTCACATTGATTAGTAAGGCCGGTCGAACATGGATAAATGAAGAGATTAATGAAACAAAGACCAGACTACGGCTTTGCTATATTCGCTGTTATGAGTGGGTAAAAAGTAGTTTTAATATATTTTTATTGAGAAAATCTACCTCAAAACATTATCTGTACAGTCATTTCATCAAGATTATAATCCTGCCTTAAAATATTATTTCACTGTCGGAGCCGCTCAGATCCCCACATACCAGTGGTGTGCTGTCACTGGGAATCCCCAGCAGCTGCTGCCTCAGACCAGGTTGCCTCTTGGGGGTCTGTCCCCTACTGTTCGTGGTGGGTGGAAGTAGATGTTGGCGTTTTTCAGATATATGGAACAAACTGCAAACACCAGAATAATAAAAGCGAAAAAATTTTGCTGGCAGCTTTCGACATTTTAAGTTAATTTAGGTGTTAATAAACTGAGGAGTGATCATAGCGATTGGTTGATGTGGTGTGTAGAGCAACATAAATTTTATTTTTCCAACTCCAGCAACTGCTGTTTATGAAATTTTGAACATTTGAGCAAAGTTTCCGGGGGGGAATTTAAGGCATACCAAAGCTATACATCCCAAAAACAGGGCGTACACACAAGCCTGTTAAACTTAGGGGTTCTATTATAATGGCCCTGGATAATTTAATTACAGTAAACTTACTTAAATCTGGCCTTTCTGGACTACCATGATATATGTGTTACTACTCTAAGCTGATCTCTAAGCTATTTGTTGTAAATAATTATACACCATTTCTAATCATTTGAACAACTCCAAGGGCACCACCAACCGACTACCCCAGAGATGTCTTGTCTTGCCCTAATAGCAGAACCTGACATGGTGTTCTCTTCCTCATCTCCTCATATTCTGCGTTCTGGTTTAACATGAAATGCTGCACACTGTTTGTTGTATTGTCAAAACTCCTTATGATCTTTTTAAAAATATTTTAAACAGCATTTTTGCTGTTTTATGGAGTTTAAATAGCTCTACTCATAACTTCTATTGCATTGTTTCTGAGTGGCTGAAAAGGAGCAGAGAGAATTATCTTTAATTGGGGTGTAAATCACCAGCTCTGTTTCAATACAATGTTATATCGATTTGTCTGGATGTTGTGCACAAACTGTGTCACAAAAAAAAAAAAATACTCTCTAATATGATCTAACCTCTTATAGGCAACAGGTATTTAAAAAACAGCATTTTTTATTGCATTGGATTGCAACATTTCTGAAAGTAAAGCTGATTGTCGGTATTATTAATGCATTTTATCCTCTTAACCTTCTCAGTAGTTTGTGAATCTTACTTACAAGACACTTTAATAATAGCAGCAACGTTTAAAGTACCGAACAAATGATTGGTTTGATTAAATGCATATAATATTACATATTACAAGACATACAGAAGTGTACGTTAAAAGCAAAAGTATCATCTAAGTATCTGTTGCATTACAAAATGTTTCAAAAAGAAAAGAGAGCTGCGAATAAAATCAAAAGCTTGTATTGAGGGCTGAGTTTTCAGTGCACATTTAAAAGTGGCAAATGAAGAGGCAGCAACAGCTGGTTAGTTCATCTGTAGGCGCAGTAGTTGATAGAGGTGGGGAGGGATAGAGATATACATAGAGAAATTAGAGTAATAAACTCCAAATCTGGAGAGGCAACCAGTGCAGAGGAAAAAAAATGCAAGTAATATTCCAGTTAAAAGACATGCAACAGCAACATTTTGCAAAATATAAAGGAAAAAGAAGAGTAAGTTTATTTATATTGCACATTTCAGTGGCAAGAAAATTCAAAGTGATGTACCTAAAAAAACAAAGAAAACTACCCTGCAGTGGCATAAAGGCAACACAAATAATGGCAGATAATATGAGTGAACAAACAAACAAAAAATAAATAATGGAGGATCTGCAAAAACTTGGTCCAACACAAAGCATTCTTTCAGTCAGGCACTTATCTGAACCTCTCTGCATAAGTAGAACATCAGAATGTTATGGTGCACTGTTGCAAAATCTAACAGAGCAGGGCTTGCATTGCTATTTGAATTCTTCAGCTATAGGGGTCTCATTAAAACTCTCAACAATGCAGATTATGTGCTATGAAGATGTTAATTAGATGTTAATAAGAAGTCAGACAGAAAATTTCAAGAACCTTATTTTTCTCCAGAAATGCTTTCAAGTGGTTGAACTATTCTCTCCAAACAAAACTGGGTTTGAGGCTATAATTTTGATCAGTACTGTTCAGCCTGTTTGAGCATTTTAGAAACCAGACTAGAGCCGATATAAACCTGTTAATAAGAGCAAGAACAGATAAAACCAATCAAGTTTAAACAGTCGGGGGAACCTAAAGAGCTTTAGATAACCTCCGGCCTGATATAGGAAATATAAGGTAGGAGACTCCAAGAAGTAGAAAGCAGCAAAACAAGAAACAAGGACTAAAGGGTAAAAAAGTAGAGAGTGTTATACAGTAGGAAGCCTAACTTTCTCATCTTTTCCTCAAAAGAGGTTCTCAAATGTCTCACATACCTTGGGGGAAGGCTGAGTATAACAATTTAAAGAACATTTAGAATAAAAAAACATTATACCTGTAATCTTTTTTCAAGACATATTGTTATATATATGGCCGCCTGTGGTAACACCAATAGCCCTGCAAAAAAATATAAAATGTTATTGTTCAGCACCCATATCTAACCATACAATGCTTTATTTTTTATGATTTGTAGTTTTAGCCACTGGAGAATTATGCATTTCTTTTTAAATCTCAAAACTGTACAGCAGGTGATGGACTGAAAACTTTGCTATTGCACAGAAGGTTTAATAAAACTGCTGGAAAAAGATCAGCAAACCTCATGAAATTTGAAACAGGCCATATAAAACATGTTTGTTGTCACATACTTGTATAGGTCCAGATGCAATTACATATAAGCAGTCCTCAACCATCGGTTTATCAGTACGACTCATACTGTATATTAAAATCTCCAAGAATAAGAACTTAAAAGGATATGGGCATGATTTATGCCTCCTATACTAAAAAGTAATGTATGATGCCCAGATTTACCCCTTGTTGGCAGGGATGAAGAGAGTAGAAGTTGGCTGTAAAAACTCCTCTGAGCTGTGGAAGCAGAATCAACCAAGTTTATGGAAGCCAGGGAAGGAAAGGTTCAAATATTTTCATCTGCAGTCAACATGCGAAAAAGGTGTTTCAATCAAGCCGACTGCTGCATTTAACTGAGCTGTGACTCTACCCAGGCGTATCAAACAAGAAGGAAAAGCCTTTTCTCTATAATCAATCATTGACCTGGCAGAGATTTGTAACACAAACTGCTCAGTGCAAACAGAGCAAGCAGTGACATATAGGAAGCCATACACATCGGCACCATCTTAAATAATTTAACTAATCTTCAAATAGAAAGCTTCATTAAAATTGGATACCACTCATAGTTCTTCTAAATCCCATTTAGACAGTGTGCTTGTGACCTTCTCTCTGAACAAAAGAAATGTGCACTCATTCTCTGTGCTGTGCTTCGTTTCAGAGGCTCAACGAAAATACGATGACAACTGTGACTCCCTGCATGAGGGGTCTGTGTCAGAGACTGCAGAAAACTCCGGAGAGGAGGCAGGCGAGGGAGGGCTAGACGTGGAGGCAGGCGAGATGACCGATGGAGGCGAGGATGACTATGACGAGGAGGGCAACCACCATCTGGTAAGTGGAAAAAGGTCGACAGGGCTGATGCACTTTGGGAGATCTCAACTAGGCACAGCCTTCCCTGTCTGAAAGCTAATCTTCCAGAATTATTCATGAGCACATTTCTGACAGATCAGGGCTTTGCATGAGTAAATGACAAGGCCACCCAGCCTGACACTTTAGTGTCAGGCTGGGTGTGTACCCTGTGTACCCTGGCTTAAACCAAGGAATAAAGGCTTTCACGCTATGCCTTTGGTGGGTGCTAAAAAAGAAGTGTCCCTTACATATGCATAGCCTGATATGAACTAGATTTGCAATAAAGTGGTTGTTGAAGAACAGCAGAATTGGATTTCTCCCACGACGCTGATGATTGAAAAGCCAAAACTCAAAAGTTTGTTTTTAGTGTTACATTTTTAGATTCTCTGAATGCTTCATAAAAACATTTTGTCCCAAAAAATATGGTCATACTTAGAGTAGCTCAGTTTAAAACCTGTGTAAAAAGGAAAGATTAAGCTATAACACTGCTTGTCTATAACACATTTTTCTTTCACACTTTAAACTCTTGACCGTGTTTGTGTTCTTATATAGTTTGTGTATAGCTTCCCATTACAGAGGAAGAAAACTGTTGAAACTCACATTGTGGAAAACAGAAAATTAAATCAATCAATAACTTCAGAGAAGAAGCAGGTTTCATCAGTCTTTTCTCTAATGTGATTGTTCTTTCAAAGCTAGTATCGACTGAATTCACTGAACCATTTGATCCCAGTGAGCTTGTGCTCCAATGCTCATTTGTCACAACATTGATTCCAAAGGCAAACTGCAACTACAGAAGCCAATTTCTTTGTTTTTTTTTTTTCTAACCAAAACTAAACCTGCAGTTTTGCTCAGTTTTCTTTAAATGTTTTTCATTAAATTACATATTTTTTAACTTGTTTTTCAAGGTTACAGGTTTGCAGGCAATATTAAAATATGTGTGTGGGGTGGTGTGCATGATTTTGGCTGTCACATATTTACTGCCTTGTGGAACGAATTTCACAGGAATACTGTATGCTACATTCTGAGGACTTAAAGGTAATTGAGAGTCCCATTAAAAAAAATGTTCTCCCACAAGGATTTATTCATAAAATTAAAAGAGATGAGATGAAAGTCTGGGCAAATTATCATTAAAGGAAAAGTCCGGTCACCAAGGAATAACGGGTCAGTACTTATACCTAAAACTAATATGTTTGGGGAAATTTAATGGATTTTGCGTTAATTGGTAAAAAAAATAAAAACAGTATTTCACTGAGTCTTGGAGTGGCAATTTTTTTTCCAAATATAGTAACACCTCACTCCTGACATCTTCCGGCAGTGACGTCAAGGTGCGGTAAGCCTAGCGCCATTGTCAAAGTCAATGGGAACTAATAGACACCTGTCATGAACGGCGGACAGATGGACCCAGTATTCAAGGGGAGACAGTCAGTAGGAAAGTTCAAAACGTTTATTAAATAAACAAAACAAAACAAAAGCGGAGCTGTGGCTCGCGGACACTGCAGGCGGGGGGGCGGGGCACCACCCAATCTCAGACATTCTGTAGTGAGAGAAACACAGGTAAGTGACCACGATCATCGGACAGAAGATGATTATCTGAATTGGTCACTTACCTGGTTTAACAGTCCAGACCAAGAATGTTCCCAAGTGCTGCAGTCCCAGAGGTCATGCTGGAAGCCGATCCTGGTCAGGAATCCAGAACAGACAGGAACAGACAGAAAAGGCAGGATCCAGATCAGGCAGGAACAGAAACAGGTGGCAGGATCCAGACGTCCAGGCATCCACAGGCTCCCAGGAGGGTTCAGAGTCTGACTGGGACCAGCGGCATGACGCACAGGAGCAGACAGGATCAGGTGCAGACAGGCAGGCTTCAGTGGAAGAAGGTAGCCGAGACAGGACGTGGAACCGGAACTTGAAGCAGGACTTTAAACTGGTCTCCTCCCTGGAGCCAGGCTTACTGGATAAAAACTGAACCTCCCCACATATTGAGCCAAAAACCCAGAGGACTCCACGGGGTAGGAACAGTGGACGATCAGGAGACGAGAAAAACACAAAAACCCTCTCTCCACTGGCTGCTAGGATCCAGGACATGAACCCTGAAATCAAACTGAACAGATAGAGTAAATAAAAGGACAAGTAATGATCTGGCCCTGAATGCTCAGGCTGAACAGAATTATAAACCCGAGGAAACAGGTGAGGGGAATAAATTGTAATTGAGGCAGGGAGGGAAAACGGCAGGTGAGAAGAATTACTAATTCGGGAGGAGCAAACAAGCCAGATTATGACAGACACCCCTGCAATCAACAAAAATTATTTAAGATTTCGAGAGGACTTCACCATTGAAATCCACAAGAGCTATAGTTAAACTGACAATTCCCACATGCATGGCAGTTGGATGTTGTAATACATCGGGTAAAAGTGAAAAAAAAAATGTTATTTCACCTTTCCAATTCATGATCCACCAAGGGTTCGTCGTTGAGTTGCCAACTTGAAGAGGGAGGATTTGCCATCGAGCTTCTGTCTAGAGAAGCAGCAAGTCATTAACCCATTACTCTTTGCTTCACACCATCATGTATAATAGCGTGTAGTGAAAAACAACAGATACAAAACTGGGACTTGCTCAACAGTCGATAACGCATCGTGATGTCACAAACCGGTAGGTGGCAGTAGTGTTCTTTGACAAACATGGACGTCTCCAGTAAGGAACATTCAAATGAAAATTACTCTTAATTAAAAACTCTTATCATTAATTGAACAGTGTGTAGTAATTTCATATTTAAACTACTTTCAGAAGTTTGTATTCTGAATGTGACTGACTTTTCCTTTAACATCTGTGTTTCCTATAATCTGGGCACCAGTGGGGTATTATGACTTTGCTGGTTTCTGTGCCAGTGGCTCACTCTGGTTGCATACAAACACTTTCCTGTTAAATGGTGGTGCCCTGTTGGCTTGCTGTTTATTATGTGTTTTAAATTGTGTTTGTCCTCCATTTGTTAGTCAAATGGACTAAAAAGTCAAATCAAAAAAAGAAGGTTGGACTTTAGCTCATATTGTGCAACTAGAAACCTGCATTTATGCCTTTTACTTAATTGAATATCATCTGTTTTCCTGACATCATACATACTAACCAAATGGAATGCTCTGAGACAAATTATTGAAAGTGTGGCCCACTCAAGCCCTTGCCTGAAACCATTGGGCCCAATAGGACCACCAGCATTGAGTCTTATTGTTTCAGGCAACAATTAAATTGTAAGACCACTAGATTTGATATCCTCTTGGAAATCTAGTTTGCAGCTAGAAAGAACTTACCTCTGGTGTGACCTCAGTCTGAGCTCTAACTCCCATGACAAATTGAATTCAACATCATACATGTGGAAGTCATTGTCTGTGTTTCAAAATGAAGCACACCCATATGGAACCTTTTGTACAAACCATGCGAGAGTTGGTTCTAACTGCAATGCTTGTCCTTATGCAGTAATTTTCTTTCTCTTTTTTCTGTGGCTCTTGACAATCACGAAAGAGGAAACATACAACAATAGTATCTGGGTCGGCTTCAAAAGGCTGTTGGATAAATGCAGTGGATAAATAAAATTGTGTTGAGCCAGAGTGTAAGGTGACCTGTTGTTCTTTACTTGTGTCCATCAAGACAGCTGATGAAATTTTACATTTGACATTATTTAAATCTCTATAGATTAAGTAGAAAATTACAGCTCTGAACTAATTGTGGTTTCTGACTTACAGGTGTTTGAACTGAAATGGAGCCTGTTGAGTGTCGAGCAGTGATCCGTTTTTTCTATTGGACTCACACCACGGGAGACTTTTGATGAAAATAAATTAAGTTATGGTGATGATGCCTGTTATATGACCTTGAAAAATGTTTTACAAGGTTATATCATGGGACATTATCACTATAAGTTACTTTCATTTGATCAAAAGTCTCCCATTGTGTGGGTCCTTTCAAATGCAAAATTCAGACTTGACTCAGTTTTAACACCAGTAAATCAGAAACCACTATTAGTTCAGAACTGTAATTTGCTATTTAATCTATAGAGATTTAAAATACTTCACATGCAAAATTTCAGCTCGATCAAACATCTGGAAGTGGACCAAATAAATTTACTGAATACAAAGTGTATATTTTAATGTGAAAGGTTTCCCTACTTCTCTGTTTAATAAGATATTTTTTACAGCAACATATGAAAGGAAATTTGTTCCCAGAAGGTTATATTGATCAGCTCTGACCTTTGAAAAAGCATAAATTATAACCGCTGAGCTTAGTTCCTTTCTCTCTTATGTTTTGCCTTTCAGATAGAGAACCACGTATCTGACATTGACAACTGAGATAAGGTAAGAGCTCAGGATTTAAAAGTGTCTTTTACAACCACTACAGTATTCCATTGTTCAGCAATACGTCTTATTAAACATTCTTATAGCCAGTCCTTATTAAAAGAAATAATTACACATAATAAAAAAAAATATATTAAAACATAGACTCTGAACTGGTTTTGGAGCATTTCTAAACATTCGTTAATCATCTCAAAACTCATAAGCTCCATGACATTTAAAGAAGTGCATTTGCTGAAGGGCAGCTAATATGGCGTTCAGCAGAGGGAGCATTAATGGCATTTCAATGGGGCAGAACAGCGGATAAACAGCATTCTTATAATTGAATTGTGAGGTAGGGGGTATGAATGGCTGGGCCTAAAGTAAAGAGTATTGTGCTCTGCAATTCTCAGGGTGTGGATAATGATGCAGTATTGACATCATATGGTGTGGCTTTGTCTTTATAACTGAACATGCATATCATAGATAAACTACTTTACAACAATAATTTAACTTTTTTATTTGTCAGACCACAAAGATATATTTTATTGGGGTCCCATGTGCTAGATCAACATGAAGTACTGCAAAATTGCAAAGTAGAAGGAAAAGGATAGCTGACCTTCAAAATATTTTACAATAAAAATCTGAAAGCATGATATTAACAGATTGCTTTTAGAAAATACACAATTAGCACAATTAAACAATTAAAGTTCACATTTAGGGATGTTTTATCACAATAAATCTTTTTTTCAGGCTATGATATATTTCTCTGATTAGGAACAAAACATTTATTATAAAATACCTGTTCCCTATCGTCTTGTGTCTTGTGAATTTCAATAAAAAAGTATCATAGATGATGTGAGTTGTTTTGTTTTTTAGAACGATGTATCCCATATGTGGACCTCAGGTCCACACAAAACCTTGATGATGACCACCAGCATCATTAAAACCAATGGAAACAGCAGATGGGTCAGGGCAGAGATATTTGAAGCAGAAATAAATAATAAAACAATATCCCAAGCTTTTATTATCTCACGGAGCTCTAGTCAGTCCATGGCCTGAAAATGGAAAGTATGTGATGCAACAGCAAACATCGTACTCAAACTTGTCGCCTTCCATTTATACGTGTCACTGTGCCAGTATCCCAGACTTACCTCTCCCCACCTGCTCCAGCACTTGTGACAGGTAAATGGAGAGCTTTGCCTTTTCGCACATCTCTCTCTTCACCACAGCAGACTGATGCAGCGTCAGATCCATGCCCCCCCCCCCCCCCCCCCCCCCCCCCCCAGCCCCCCCCCCCCCCCCCCCCCCCCCCAAAAAAAACATGAACAGGACCACATGAAAGTCAAACTTCTCCACTACAGGCTGGAATTCTCCTCCGAGCTGAAGGGGGAAAGCCACCTTTTTCTGGTCAGCCGTGGCCTCAGAATTGGAGAAGTCGGTACTCTTCCCAGCTGCATCATTTTCAGGCTTTAACTTCCCACCGTATGCTGTAAGTCTGGGCAGGAAGGAGCCACCAGAACCAAAATCTGCCCTTGGTCGTGCTTAGAAACTCGGTCCATAAAGGCTATGAACATGGCTAATGACAAAGGCAGGCCTCTCAGAGTCCAACAGCCGGCCACTCAGGCTGCTGGGTGACAGAGCCCTGGTTATGTGTGGAGGTGAGGCCATCTATTATTCGCCGGTGTCACTTCACTTACCACAGAAGCTCAGGCTCCTACCCCCCCTGGGGTGGCATTCCACATCCCAAGAGCCAGTTTAAACAACCATGCATCTGGTTGCCAAAGCCTTCAGCTTTGATTGCTAATCAATCCTCTTTGCACCGGTCCCATGGTTCATCCTGCAGGTAGTAGGCCAATAGGGAGATGGCTTTGCTTCACTCCTTCTGGCTTGGACAGTCAGGGTCCCTAAAGGAGGAACCACCTGGTGCTTGCTAATGAACCCCAACCCTATGCAATTGCCATCTGGATGGATGAGCACATCTTACAATCAATGAATGCAGATTGCTTTACGTCACAATTTGCAATGGATGGCAGAGAAGACATGTAAATTAATTGTAAATTAAGATTTAAGATGTGGCCCTTCACCTACTGTAAATCCAATGCAAGGGGAATGGTATTTAGAGACATATTTCCAGTTAAGATTACAAAAAACTGATTTCCAGTTGCTAAATGCAAGGGCCCATTTTCACAAAGAACCCTTAGACTAAAAGGAGCTCTTCCTGACATTCTTTTAGTGACATCTAAGATTTTTCTTAGAATGCTGCTTTGGTTAGGTAAAAGCTATTAACAAAGCACCTTAAGCCTTCAGAGAGTACTGAAAGTAAAACAAAATGATAGAAGCAGTAGCTTAGAAAGACTTCTAGAAATCTAGAAGACTTTGGAAAAAGAGAACTGAACACCACTTAAATAGTGGAATAAATGGGTGCCTATACTGTCATTAATTGGGAGATCAAATCAAACCTATTATCCTTATGAAGGAAATAATTTAGCTTACAATGGTTAAATATGCACCTTTAGTAATGTCATTTTGTTAGTAAAGATATTTCGTAGGAAAATATTTGTTGAATAATACCAACATGGAAGGCATTCTCAGAAAAACTAATGCTTCACATAATAGAAACTTACTAACTTGGTGCAGTAGTAAAACTGAATATTTAAATTACAAATAATCATGTAGTTTTTATTTAACATGATAAGCCAGATTGATAAGTGTAATTCAACATGAATTTTTACATAGGATCAATCTGGGAAGCTTCCTGTAGAGCATATTGGCAAAAGGGAGGGACATTTAGTTTAATTCTTCAACCTGATTGCTTACCTGCCTCTCATGTCGAGTTTTTAGCAGGAGTAGCTTAGACGTATCACATTCTTGATAAATCAAACTTACTAAATCGGCTCGGGGAAAACTCACAAATATCGTTCCATCCACAAAGGCAAAATTATGTCCTTCTGTGTTATTAGACAAAAATAGAGCATATTCCAGCTACTTCAGCCTTCTGCCTCTGGTTGATGCGTTGACGCCATGCACGTTACTGCATTTCATTGGTCTGGAACATTTTTGCATCAAGGCTAATGCATCTGTTGGCTTAAGGCAAGATACATTTTCCAGAGTTTTTGAATATACAAATGTCACAACAATTAATCTTGCAAGGTAAATTTAACATGACCCCACATTACAAAAACATCCAATAAATTCAGTGAACTCAAACCACATGGCAAGCTATGTGAATAAAGTGCCTACAAACACACCGCAAACTCAGTAAATTCATTTAGACTTCTTTGACAAAGTTTTTGTTCAAATACCAAAAAAAACTAATTTAAGATTTTTAATGAGTGAATGTCTGTCAGGTCTTTTAAAGGTAAATCAATTCAAATCAGCTAGTGGATTAGAACCAGCCTTATTGATAACAAATCTTTCAATTACCCAAACAATTACAACACCAAATTTCACATTAACACACACAAAAAATAAGTTTAAAGTATTAAACTCTTTACATTTACAAAAATCGTAAATATAGACTGTTAGGTTTTTGTATCTGTGCATGTTTTTTTGGTTTCTGCCAGCAACATCATGACTGCAACTTGGTCAAAAATAAAAAAATTCGATGTAGGTACATCGTAATTAATGCCCTTTTTAATTGCTAATTTTGTTCTTAAAGTTTTACAGTATTTTTTGTGTGCTTATATATACAAGGAAATACCATAAAGCAGTCTTCCAGGTGGAAGCAATCAAACACTCAGTAGGAGGGAAGATACTAATTTGTATCTCTAACACAACATTTCACATTTTTTTTTACCTATATCATGTTTGGATATTACAAAAAGGAAAGACTGAATGATGCAGGGATTTAATTATGTAATATCTCATAATAGTTTAATAAAAGCTTCTCAAACTCATCCTTTGAGAAGCTGAAAAGTATTACTGCAGACTCTGTTGATTCTAATGTCCTGCTAGTCTCTTTCTGCCAATAAATAATCGATCTGTATGTTGTTCTTGACTCCTGGAGGGAGGTTTTCCATCTACCGGATAGTGTTCTGTGTGCAGAATTCTCCTTTTTTTTCTTCCATAGTATTTACTATTTTTTTTCTTCTCAATTTCACTGTCTCCATATTGTTCAAATATTGTGCCGGCAATAGTTTCTGATATCTTACATTCTAGGTTTGAAGCTTTCTTTGGCCTAATTTTTGGTTAATGTCAGCTGGAAACAAGGAATTTTCTCTTAAGTTATGCACCAAAGTGCAGTCTCAGCCACGGTTCAGCCTTTGGGAATGCTTTTAGCTTGGTCTAGCTGATTTTTAAGCCTTAAGTAGCTGCTTAAGTAGCCATACGGTTTCTTTAAAAAATGAAGCTTATTGGCTGACAACATAAAAAGCCTGTGCAGAGCCAAACAAAGGCAATATGTAGATTAAACATGGGTTTCCATGCAGATGCCAGTGTTGCACCATATTCTCTAACCATATGGGCCCGGTCTCAATAGTCACTATTTTCACTAATTGGTAGAAGCGTTCATAACTGTTTAAGTGTGCAGGTTGTAAACCCTTATGCAGGTCTGCGTTGTACCTGTTAATTTGGTGGGACCTGTCACTGTATTTGCAATCTTACTGCTAAAACTTTTTTTTTTTTTAGACTGCAACAAGAAATTGTTTTTTTGTTGTCAGTCTTTTTCAGTGTTGTAAAATCTTAATTATTTTAATAATTAGAGCTGAAATTTTTTTTTCGACACATTCGCTGGTGCTTAATTTTTTTATTTATGAGTTAATAAAAGTACAACTGAGACAATACATTTCCCAGATTACAAGATATATCTACAGTGAGGAGAAGACAAAAAACTAAGCATCAATATACAAAGGCAGATAATGAGAGAAATTAGTCCAGCTAGAGAAAAAGCTTAGAGAAAATGTAATTGAAATATTTTCATTTTAGAATAAGTATGTAGACATCTGAGGTTCCTTTCATGAAGCCGGTGTAATGAAAACTCTAAGTTGGTTAATCATTAAATTCAGGAAACTCAGAATTTCCAT